TGCCTCAGCCTCCTGAATCGCTGAGACTACAGGCATGTGCCACCATGCCCAGCTAATGTTTTTGTATTTTTAATAGAGACAGGGTTTCACCATATTGGCCAGGCTGGTCTCAAACTCCTGACCTCGTTATCCGCCTGCCTCAGCCTCTGAAAGTGCTGGGATTATAGGCATTGAGCCACCATGCCCGGCCCTTTTTTATAGTATTTTTTATATAAAGTAAGACTGTTGTTGGCTTTGCATTCTGTGAAATGCAGTTTGGGGTGCTTTGGCTGTGTGAGCAAAGTATATTTTTTACTGGTTGGCTTTTGAGGAGGGTAGTGAAAAAAGAAAGGGTATGTGATCCTCAGTTTTTCTCATTTCTTAGGATTGTAGCATCCTAAATATTTTCCTCTTGCTTGTTTTTTCCCCTCACTGCAGAACTTCTAAGAGGCCTCTCCTGTTTAAACTCTCTTTTTTTCCCACGTTTGCATTATCTTTCCAAAATTGCCCCTTAACAGTCAAACATACTTATATGTCTCTTTCCTGTAGACTGTGCTTTCATCTTCCAGGGATAGACTTTCTCTGTATTTTCACACTTAGGATGGACTTCATCTTTCTGGCAGTGGCTTACATTATTAATTCTGGCACTACTCTCTTCACTTCAGCTCAATTTTTCCTGAACTTCTCTTGTTCTTTGCAAAGGCTCATGACAAGAGAATCTAGTTTTACCTATAGTTTGAAGTTTAGACATTTGCTGCCTTTATTATATTAATGTGCGGCTTTATATCGTTCTATTTATTAATTTTTACTTTTCTGAGAATATCTTGGGAGATTCACAATTATACTTCAGCTACCCAGAATTCTGGCTTCAAAACTTTAATTTTTTACAGTTCTTTTTTTTTTTTTTTTTTTTTTTTTTGAGACAGAGTTTCGCTCTTGTTACCCAGGCTAGAGTGCAATGGCACGATCTCGGCTCACTGCAACCTCTGCCTCCTGGGTTCAGGCAATTCTCCTGCCTCAGCCTCCTGAGTAGCTGGGATTACAGGCACGCACCACCGTGCCCAGCTAATTTTTTGTATTTTTAGTAGAGACGGGGTTTCACCATGTTGACCAGGATGGTCTCGATCTCTCGTGATCCACCCGCCTCGGCCTCCCAAAGTGCTGGGATTACAGGCTTGAGCCACCGCGCCCGGCCTACAGTTCTTTTAATTTTGGAAAAAATATTGTAGATTTGAACTTTTTAAAATTCTCTTACTGTCATCTTAATATTGTTTTTGAGAATACAAGTGCCACTTTGGGAGGCCAAGGCAGACAGATCACTTGAGGCCCGAAGTTTGAGACCAGCCTGGGCAACGTGGTGAGACCCCATTCTACAGAAAACACGAAAATTAGCCAGGTGCAGTGGCATATTTATGTAGTCCCAGCTACTCAGGAGGCTCAGGTAGGAGGATGATTTGAGCCTGGGAAGCAGAGGTTGCAGTGAGCCGAGATATTGCCACTGAACTGGAGTCTGGGGCAAAAGAGCGAGACCCTATCTCAAAAAAAAAAAAAAAAAAAGGAAATACAAATGCTTGTATAATCTATTACGTTTAACTGGAAACCACTAGTTTTTTTGTTTTTTAATTTTTAAAAATCTCAGCAGTAAGTTTGAAAACTTCAGCATGCTACCAAAATAAGTGTTCTAGAGATAAAAAAAATAGTGTAATTGGTGTGTTATAAATAAAAAATAGTAAATAACTCTTATGGTCTGTATCAGTGGCTCTCAAACTTTAAAAGACCTCAGAATCATCCAGAGGTTTTGTTAAAAACACTGATTGCTGGGCCCTATCCCCAGAGTTTCCTATGCATTTGGTCTGGAATGTTGCTTAAGAATTTGCATTCCTAACATGTTCCCAGTTGCTACTACTGATTGTGTTGGTCTGGGACCCATACTTTGAGAACAACTGGTCTATACTAGCCATTCACACATTTATTCAAAAAAATGTATATGCCAGGCAGAATTCTAGATACTAGAGTAATAGCAGGAAACAAAACAGGTAATGCTTCTCTGTTCTCTTGAAGGTTATTCTAGATGTTTTTAAAGTATTTTTTCTTTAGTCCTAGACATAAACCCATTAACTATACCAAACGTTTTTTCTTTTTGAAGCAGAGTCACACTCTATCACCCAGGCTAGAGTGCAGGGGCGCAATCTCGGCTCAGGGCAACCTCTTTGTGCCTGGTTCAAGCTGTCCTCCTGCCCCGGCCTCCCAAGTAGCTGGGATTACAGGCATGCAGCACCACTCACACCCAGCTAATTTTTGTGTTTTTAGTAGAGACAGGGTTTCACCATGTTGGCCAGGCTGGTCTCAAACTCCTCACCTCAAGTGATGTATCTGCCTCGGCCTCCCAAAGTGCTGGGATTATAGGCATGAGCCACCAAGCCTGGCCAGTTATACCAAAGTCTTGATGTCCTCTGAAAGCATCTTGAGCTTTCACATGTGCAATGTTCTCCTAGCTCTGTTCAACTTACTTAGAATAAGTTTCCTCTAGCCCCTTTCCTTTGCCATTTCAAATACTATGCATCCAAAAACTGCAGTTATGATTAAAATGACACATAAAAAAACATATTCAACAGAAAGCCAATGGGTTCAATTATTTCTTTTTTTCTCTAATATCAAAAATGTTTAAGAATGTATATCTAGGCACAGTGGCTCATGCCTTTAATTCCAGCACTTTGGAAGCCTGAGGCGGTGGATCACTTTAGGCCAGGAGTTCGAGACCAGCCTGGCCAACATGGTGAAACCCTGTCTCTACTAAAAACACAAAAATTAGCCGGGTGTGAGTGGTGCTGCATGCCTATAATCCCAGCTACTGGGGAGGCTGAGGCAGGAGAATTGCTTGAACCCAGTGAGCCAAGATAGTGCCACTGCCCTCCAGCCTGGGTGACAGAGCAAGACTCCATCTCCAAAATATATATATATATATGTTCAGAAATTTTAGGGCTGGGCACAGTGGCTCATGCCTGTAATCCTAGCACTTTGGGAGGCTGAGGCAGGCAGATCACCTGAGGTCAGGAGTTCAAGACCAGCCTGGCCAACATGGTAAAACCTCATTTCTACTAAAAATTAAAAAAATTAGCTGAGTGTGGTGGTGGGCACCTATAATCCCAGCTACAAGAGAATCTCTTGAACCCGGGAGGTGGAGATTGCAGTGAGCCAAGATCATGCCATTGCACTCCAGCCTGGGCAACGAGAGCAAAACTCTATCTCAAAAAAAAAAAAAAAATCTCAGTTTTATTACTTACGAGTTGTATAACCTTGGGAAAGTTGTTACTTTTCTGTGCCTTGGTTTCATTGTCTATGAAGTGGGGATAATACTATTACTTACTTCAGGATATGGGGATTAAATGAATAATAGAACAGGGCCATGTACATAGTAGGTGCCCAATAAATGTGAGCTACTATTGTTTTATAACAGTGTAACAAAAGACGCAGCACTGGCCAGGTGCGGTGGCTCATGCCTGTAATCCCATCAATTTGGGAGGTCGAAGCAGGTGGCTCACAAGGTCATTGAGGCCATTCTGGCCAACTCGGTGAAATCTGTCTCTATTAAAAATACAAAAATTAGCTGGACGTAGTGATGCGTGTTTGTAGTCCCAGCTATTCGATAAGTTGAGGCAGGAGAATCACTTGAACCAGGGAGGCAGAGGTTGCAGTGAGCAGAGATCACACACTCCAGCCTGGTGACAGAGCGAGACTCCATCTCAAAACAAACAAACAAACAAAAAGACACAGCACTAATAAATATCCCATTTCAAAGTGACTAGCATAAGTACATTGGATTAGAATTAACTGCAAAACTGTTTTTTTGAAGAAACAAAAACTTTAAAAATCGTAGCTCTCATGTAAAAACCTCCATTAATGCCCATGACCTAATGTGATATTTGCTTTCCCTCAATTTTTTTTTTGTCCCTGAAGTTTTATCATAAATTCATTCATTCATTCATTCATTATCCAACAAATACTGATTAATTGCCTACAATGTGCCAGACACCATGCTATAGAGGTGAGCAAGAGAAGACAAGAGGTTCCTGCCTCCATAGACTTTTCTAGTAGGGGAGACAGAAAGAAACAGGTAAACAAAATAATAAATAAGGTAATTATAGATTGTGATAAATGTTACAAAGGATGCAAAAGGTGAATATGATAGAAAGCAACTGAGGTAAAGGAGACTAGTTTTAAGACAAAGTGATAAATGTTCAAAGGGAAAAAAAAGAATATTATGGAACATCATTGGGTGGAGGGAAAGTGCTACTTTAGACGAGGTAGTGGTGACTTAGTAGACTTCTTAGTTGGTGACTTTAATGTCATTTTCTAGTTCTCTTATAAATTAATTGGTCTCTGACATCTAATTTTGTTTTGGACGATTACTTATCTTTTAGTGTTATATTCTAGCACATACATGTATATCTATTTCAGTGAAATCCATCTGAATATATATTTTAAAACCATGTGTTCATATTTATGCCTCAAACTCCAGTCCAACACCAAAGGCTTCATCGTAGCTTCCCCCCTTTCCTTATTTGTACCTTTTTCTTTCTCTGAAGGTAAGAAATACTGAAAAAACACATGTGTAGTAGCTACAGTACATTTGTACTTAGCCATCTTTTTATCTTTAGCCATAGATTACAGTCAAGGTTTTGTTTTCCAAACTTAGGTTAATTCTGTTTTTCCCCTTCCCTCTGCCCTAGCATGATTGTGTTCTTCATTTGTAATACAGTTAGGTTCATTTGTTACTGTTTGTATTCCATTTTGGATTCTCCCTAATTCCTGCTTGATTTTATTTATTTTTGGGGGGTGTGTGCCATTGCTATGGTTCTAAGCATCAGACCTGTACAGAAAGGCTAACACAGAAAAGTGTTCTCCCTCTTTCATCCCTCTTTCCTTATTCTTATTCCCCTATTCTTTCTACTCATAGTCATCCATACCCTGTAGGTAACCAGTCTCATTTGGACTTTTTTTTTTTTTAACTTTCTTTCAAGGCTGATCTTCAGACAAGTTCTCAGCGTTTAAACCTTTCAGCCTCCAATGCTGCAGTGGCTGAACTTAAACCAGATTGTTGTATTGACGATGTCATACATCATGAAGTTAAGGAAATTGGAACACACATGTAAGGATTAATTTTACTAGTTCTCAAAGGATTTTACTTATATACGCCTTTATTTGAAACCTTTTCTTTCTTTTTATTCACTGTAAAGCCTAGGAACCTACTTCAAAAGGAATTTTATGTTCCATGTTTACATGTTTACCAGAAATAAACTTTGAACCAAATGTTTGTTTTGTAGGGAAAAAAATCCAATTTTTTTTTTTTTTTATTTTGGGACAGAGTCTTGCTCTGTCGTCAGGAGCCAGGCTGGAGTGCAGTGGCGCAATCTCAGCTCACTGCGATCTCTGCTTCCTGGGTTCAAGCAGTTCTCCTGCCTCAGCCTCCCGAGTAGCTGGGACTACAGGCGCGCGCCACCACGCCCAGCTAATTTTTGTATTTTTTTAGTAGAGACGGGGTTTCACCATGTTGGTCAGGATGGTCTCCATCTCTTAACCTTGTGATCTGCCCGCCTCGGCCTCCCAAAGTGCTGGGATTAAAAAATCCAATTTATCATCATTTATCTCTAGTTTTATTTTTTACATCTATAATCTAAAAAATGAAAAGTTGTGCAAAATGTTTAAAACCCAAGTAGCCATCTGAAAGTGTATTGTGTTTTGAAGTGCTAGTAACTGATGTTCATAGTGTTTCTTTTTAAATTCAGTTTTTCAGTTTTGTATTTAACTGGATATATATACTCTAACTCAGAAATATAGGCCCAAGATAAGGCACACTGTGGAAAAAAAAAATCAAATCCTGTATTCCTGCCCTGTGTATGTATTTGAATCTGAATGCTCTATTTTTCTTTCAGTCTGAGAGGCAGTATGAAAATTTTACCCATCTGAAGTAATTTTAGACTTCTTCATTTCCTCTAGAAACCCTACATCCAATCAATTCACAATATCCTATTAATTCCCTGAATATGTCTCATTTATCTGTTCTTCATCTCTACCAGTTTTACTTCTCTTTGTGCCCATTAAAGTTTATAATATTAGCTATTTTTAATCAGTTAATTTTGGTGACAAGCTCTGTTGTAGCTTTTCTTCACGTATATTCTTTGAGGTATGAGCTTTGGAATCAGACTTCTCAGAGTTAAAATTTCAGCTTTATCAGCTATGTGATCTTGTATAAGTCACTTAATTCTTCAATGATCTCCCATTGCCCTTAGGAAATTCTGAGTTTGCAAAGGTTTTACAAAGCTCTCTGCAACTTAATTCTTACCAACCACAGTAATTCTTACCATCACCACCCTTCTCTCCCTCTCCACCCTGCAGTCATACTGGACTTGTTTTATCTCCAGACTCCATGGATTGAAATGCTTTCTTCCCTTACAAAGGAGTAGCTATGGCATTTTGTTTAGTTTACTTCTACTTCTCTTTCATATCTGACATTCAGCACTACTTCCTTAAGAAGCTTTCTTCACCTCCTAGACTAGATAGCACCCATCATTTATCATTTTTAAAAATGTTTTGTACTTATAATTACTTATTGGGTGCCTACCTTTCCCATTAAAGTATGAGATCCATGAAGTCTGCTATAGTCCAAGGATCTAACAGAGACCAGAGGTCAGTATTTATTGAAATGATAACAAATGTGTAAAATCTCCATTTTACAGAAAATGAGACTTGCACAATTAAGCAGCAAGTTTAGAAGACATAGAACTCAAATCTAAACCTAGTTTCAGATCGTATACCTTGCCATGCTATTCTTACTGTGAGCACTTTGAAGGCGGGTATTGTGCTTTGATCAGTCCTCTTCCTAGCCCCTGCCTTAGTACTAAGCAGCTCAAGTATAAAGGAGAAATTAAATTACCTGCTAATATTATCACCTCATATAACCAACCACTAATAAAATATTAATATATTTATCTCCAGTCTTTCTGCATACATATATGAAATAAATGTGTATAAATTAATATTTTACCAACTTTGGCCATATTGCTCATACTTTTATCCTTTTAAATACACTATGAGGAGATTGAGACCATCCTGGCTAACACAATGAAACCCTGTCTCTACTAAAAATACAAAAGAAAAAGAAGAGTGGTGGCAAGTGCCTGTAGTCCAGCTACTCAGGAGGCTGAGGCAGGAGAATCACTTGAACCTGGGAGGCGGAGGCTGCAGTAAGCCGAGATCTCGCCACTGCACTCCAGCCTGGCTACAGAGCTTGACTCCATCTCAAACAGCAACAACAAAAAATTACACTGGTAACATTTTCCCACACATCAGGCAGTGTTTTTTGAAAACAGTTTTGGGGCCAGCTGTGGTGGTTCACGCATGTAATCCCCAATTCTTTGGGAGGCAAAGGTGGGCAGAACCCTTGAGCTCGGGAGTTTAAGACCAGCCTGGGAAACATGACAAAACCCCATCTCTACAAAAAATACAAAAAGTAGCTGGACATGAGCATGCCTGTATTCTCAACTAGTTGGGAGGCCGAAGTGGGAGAATCACTTGAGCCCAGGAGGTCAAGGCTGCAGTGATCCATGATTGTGCCACTGCTCTCCAGCCTGGGTGACACAGTGGGACCCTGCCTCAAAAAAACAACAAAAAAAAAAAACAGACATGGTGGCTCATGCCTATAATCCCAGCACTTTGTGAGGCCAAGGAGGGTGGCTCATGAGGTCAGGAGTTCAAGACCAGCCTGGCTAACATGGTGAAACCCTGTCTCTATTGAAAGTACAAAAATTAGCTGGGCATGGTGGTGTGCACCTATAATCCCAGCTACTCGGGAGGCTGAGGCAGGAGAATTGCTTGAACCAGGACCCGGGAAGCAGAGGTTGCAGTGAGCCAAGATCACGCTATTGCACTATTGCATTCCAGCCTGGACTACAGAGTGAGATTCTGTCTCAAAAAAAAAGGAAAGAAAGTTTTTTACATGATGCCATCTAACACAGTTGTACGGTGCTTTTTGTTTTTCCTAATGTTGGATGCTTATTTTCAGTTTTTCACTGTTAAAAATAACATGGAGATGAACACCTTAATGTTTCCTTATGTGGGATATTTGAAGTGTTTTTACTGTGAGAACATATAAGCATTTTGCAAATTTCCTGCCACCACTAGCAGTGTGGTAAGACAGTTTCTCTAAACCCTCAGCAACTCTGATATCACTTAAAAAGAATTTTTGCCAAATCTTGATAAACAGAAAAATATCACCTCATTATTTTTATGTGTTTCTCTGACTACTTGTGAGGCTGAACATTTTCACATTTTTGTTAGCCAGTTTTGGTACTGTGATTTAATTGTGTATTCCTTGTCTCATGTTTTGAGTGATATATTGATGTTTTGCTTTTTAACTTACAGGAACCCTTTGTCATATTAAATATTAAAATGTAACCACTTTCTCATATTATTACAAGTGTTTTATCCTAGTTTGTTTCTACTTTGTAATTGTTTTAGTGTTTTTGATTCCATTTAAACTTTTTAACATAACAGTATTTCCCACTGCATTTATGTTAAGAAATCTATCCTGAATTTTTTTTTTTTTTTTTTGAGACAGAGTTTTGCTCTTGTTGCCCAAGCTGGGGTGCAGTGCATGATCTGGGCTCACTGTAACTTGTGCCTTCCGGGTTCAAGTGATTGTCCTGCCTTAGCCTCTCGAGTAACTGGAATTTCAGGTGCCTGCCATCACACCTGGCTAATTTTTGTAATTTTAGTAGAGATGGGGTTTTACCATGTTGGCCAGGCTGGTCTTGAACTCCTGACCTCGAGTGATCCGCCCGCCTCAGCCTCCCAAAGTGCTGGGATTACAGGCATGAGCGATGCCCAGCTGGAAGTTTTTTCATCCATATTTTTCTTCTAGTTTATATGAACTTGTGTTATACATTCAAATATTTGATTATTCTGAGAATTATTTTGGAATATATTTCACCTTTCAGATGAAGTTAGGAAGTTTCTGATTTTCTCCTCCAAAAATGTTATTATCTCATTTTACTAACCAGAGCTTTCTTCTTCATGTAGTTATGTCCATATATCTACTTTTACTTTTTCCCGTGCTCTAATCTCTCATATCCATACCATAGATATGTGTTTTCCAAATTTGTTAGAATTGAGGTGTGTTTGATTGCTATTAAAATAAAAAATGATTCAGAATCATTAAGACATCTTTTTGTTTCAGCTTGGTGTGTGCTGTGAGTTATACAACTCAGGCTGGAGAAAAAATGTATTTTAGAAAATTCTTCAAATTTCAGGTATCAAATATAACAATGGTAAATAGTTTTTATGTGCATTTTTCCCCAGGTAACATACAATTATTCCTGTTTATCTGCAGGGAAAACAAATAGCTCAATATTTTTGAATTTGTCACATGACTAGCAGTCTAAACTCAGACTAAATTAAGGTAAATAAAAGCAGAGACGTTATCATTGCCAATATAATATTTTTGTAATGAAACTTGAAGATGTTTATTCACAAAAAAAGAAAAAAAATAGCCGAGTCTGGCACTGTGGTTCTCACCTATAATACCAGCGCTTTGGAAAGCAAACAGAGGAGGATCACTTGAGGTCAGTTCAAGATCAGCCCAGGCAGCATGACCTAGGACTGCAGGTGGCACAAGCCTGTAATCCTAGCTACTTGGGAGGCTAAGGCAGAAGGATCGCTTGAGCTCAGGAGTTTAAGGCTTCAGTGAGCTGTGATCATGCCACTGCACTTCAGCTTCGTCAGCAGAGCAAAACTGTCTCTAAAAAGTAAATAGCTTGTTTTTATGGCCTGACAAAACACACAGTGGTATAAAATGAATGAAAAGTCCACATAAAATGAGGATTAATAATATCACATTGAGAGACTACCGACTTGGAGTGAATAGACTGAGTTTCCTTCAAGTACCAGGAATCACTGGAACTTTGAGTTTTGTTATTAATACACAATTTTCAGCATCTATCAAAAATAGTTAAAAACCACTGGTTTAATGCATTTAAGTGTGGAGGTGAGGAAATGTGAATACCACATGTCTATTATAAATATAGATCTAAATATGATGCTGTATGTGTTTTTTTATTCCTCTGTAAATAGAAGAAAAAGTACTATTAATAGGAAAAAATTTTTTTGTTGTTGTTGAATCATCACTCATTTGCATCCCTTTTGAAAGAAAATAAAAAGTAGGCCTGGTGCAATGGCTCACACCTGTAATCCCAGCACTTTGGAAGGCCGAGGTGGGCAGATCACCTGAGATCATGAGATTGAGACCAAAAAATGATTTTTTTTTTTTTTTGGAGACGGGGGACAGAGCTTTGCTCTTGTTGCCTAGGCTGGAGTGCAATGGCACGATCTCAGTTCACCACAACCTCTGCCTCCCAGGTTCAAGCGATTTACCTGCCTCAGCCTCCCGAGTAGCTGGGATTACATGTGCCTGCAGCCATGGCCAGCTACTTTTTCTATTTTTGGTAGAGACGGGGTTTCACCATATTGGCCAGGCTGGTTTGGAACTCTTGATCTCAGATTATTCGCCCACCTCAGGCTCCCAAAGTGCTGGGGTTACAGGCATGAGCCATAGTGCCCAGCTCAATTGCTTTTTTTTTTTTTAGACAGAGTTTCGCTCTTGTTACCCAGGCTGGAGTGCAATGGCGCGATCTCGGCTCCCCACAACCTCCGCCTCCTGGGTCAGGCAATTCTCCTGTCTCAAGAGATCAAGACCATCCTGGTCAAAATGGTGAAACCCCGTCTCTACTAAAGATACAAAAAAATTAGCTGGGCATGGTGGCGCGTGCCTGTAATCCCAGCTGCTCAATTGCTTTTTTTTGCAGTTTTTGTGAATATACATATAGAAAAATACACGAAATATATATGTTTGGTTTAACAAAATATTATTTTGTTAGCAAAAACCCATGTAATGTAACTGTCACCCAATCAAGAAAAAATAGTGGTAGCCTTTCAAAAAATGCATTTGGAATTTTTTTTTTTTTTGCAAGATTATTGCATACCTATTAGAAAAGTCTTTTAACAATTAAAATTGGAAAATGGCTTTGACAAATTTAAGCTATGTGATTTTAAAAAATAAAAATAAATGGTCACATGATAACAATCTCCTGATTGATATGCTTTATTTAACCAGGTTCTCAAACCATTGGATGTGAAAACCAAATTTTACAATGCAGAGGTAAGTGTTGAGTGGTTAATGGGATTTCATATTAAACATTAAGATCTTATTTGACTAAAAATCTCTTATATACAATTCTAATACTGAAGCAAATTGCCAATGTGACTGTAAATTATTTGAAAAAAAATCATAGATTTCAGTTAAAAGTGAATAATTGTATTATAGGTCCATAATCTTTTTGAACTTACATGGAATCAATGTGTCTTGATTTTTTTATTCTCATTAATTTTATAAGGCTTTCATCTCCTTTCATTAAATGATTGCCCTCTAATTCCATTTAATGGTGGTGGTTACACTAGCAATCTGTTGAATATTTACATATGGTTTTGGATATTACAAAAATTGAATTAGTAGATTTAACCCTGCAAAATAGATTTAACATTCACATTGAAAAATATTGACAAGTGAAGCTCAGCACATTAAATTATTTCCAGGGAAGTCAGTGTGCCAGCCAGAGTTAGGTTTCTGAGTTTGGTGTAATGGCTTTAAAAGTTCCTTGGGAAAAACAAGTTTGGCAAAAATAAAAGTAACTTTTATAATAGAAGATACTCTATCTTTTACCATAAGAGAAAGAGATTAAATAGAACTTGCCATAGGATAAAGGATTCATTGCTTGGAATTTTTTTCTAAAATTCTGTTTTATCTTGGCTTCTAGAGCTGCAGAAAAATCAGATCTCTTGATAGCCCGTTATCCTTCAAAATCATGTGTTTCATACCACAGTGATAAATTCAAAGATACCCAAATACAGTATTTTGAAATAAAGATTATATCTCTACTACTGTAAAACCAGGTGATTATCAGACATTTTCAATCACATGGCAAATTTGATACTTATTTTTACCATCTACAAACTAAATTTTTACTCAGTAAAGTTTGTACTATAACTAAGATTTCTTCAGATGCCTATGTTAAGGAACCTAACCTGCAGCAAAGACCTGTTAGGATAAAAGAAAAAATGCATATAATAACAAAACTACCTAGAGTGCAGTATAGTGAGAATGATATGAAAAGATGTGATACAAGAGCTCAGGGGAATGAGATCTTGGAATAGTTTAAAGAAGGTTTGTGGAAGAGAAGGAAAACTAGATTGGAGTCTGAAAGGAATGCATGTTGGAAACAGATAAGTGTCAAAGCAGTGAAGGCATTCAAGCAGGTTTACAAATGGACATGGAATATCAAGTACATAGGAAAGAGCATAGATATTTGATGAGAGGGAAGAGCATCATCAAGAAGATTACTAGATGTTTACAAAGTTGACATTTCTTTTGTGGGGGATAGGTGAGTTGGAGTAGTATGTATTTATTCTTTCTTTTTTTGTTATTCATGGCATACTGTTGATTAATTACAGTCAGCATGGTGAAATTTAAATAGTCTAACTTATCATTTTTCTGGAAAAGATTTCATTTATAGTATGAGGGAAAAATGTTAACTATTCTGTTAGAAAATTAATTTCTAAAAAGGGCAATACGTGGGGTTTTTTTTTCTATAATTGATCCTAACAGTCATATATTAAGCTATTTTAGGTTTTCTTCATTAAAAATATGGTAGTACACTAAGATACCTGAGAGGTAGTTTTATATAATCAATCTTCAGAGTGATTTGTGAATAATTTTTTTAGTTGCTAGTTTTCTATAAACATTTATAGAAGTGACATGCTCACCATAAAGAAATAAGAATTCACAATTCCATCCCACCAATTGATTTTTCATTAATACATACTCTTTTGCAGTCTTTATTTGCTTATATATAATATTCTGTTTTTATAATCATGACAATTTTGTTTGTTTCCTTTGTCGGTTAACATTATATGTTGACATAATCTTTAAACCTTGCTAACAAACTTCAACCAAAATAATTTCAGTAAAATTCTGAATTTTTGAAAATATATCTCACTTTAAAAATCAGGAGTGAACAAATAGCATTTTGGGTCTAAGATACTTGATATTACCTATTAGACAAACAAGTATTGTTCAACCACTAGCATGAGGTAGATTATGTTGACCCCAACCAGGAATTTCAGGTAGATTGTAAGAGTTAATAAACCACAGCAATATCAGTAGGGATGCTTATTGTTCTGTGCTGTAGTCCTTTTACAGGTAAAATTATTCACCCCACGTCTGTCTCAAACATATTTTTGATACATTTTCTAATAATGCTATATGTGAATCACCTAAAGGAAAACAAGTTCATGAAAAACTTTGTTATAGTCTTCTAAGATAGAAAAGCCCTGCAAGAAAATTGATGAGATTAGAGGCTACGATTCAAACATTTGGTCACCTGCTGGGTACGGAGACCCATGGCAGGTACTGAAGAGAAATATAAACAAAACATCTTCCTAATCCTTAAAGGACCTGCAGCCCATGAGGAGATTGACATGGCATAACTATAATGCAAGCCCCTCCCACACATATACCTCAAATCATGAAGTAACATATTCTGGGTACCTAGAGAAATGAAAAATGATTTCCAGCTATGCATTCGATGAAGGTGATGTTTGAGATTGCTCTCAATAAACAGCTAAGGAAATATATATGGGGGAAAAAAGGCTAACTATGAAATCTAAGAAGAGAACAAATTCTCAATTTATTGAAATGGTTCAGCCCTGTATTCCCTGAAGTAATCAATGGAACTCTAATTGCCTAAAACAGTCCTTTAAAAAAGGATCCTATTATTATATAAATTTAAGAGAAGGTATACAGTTTATACTCTGAATGTGGAGGATAGTATATATTCATCCTAAATTATCTATGAAGAATTACAGTGTTGGTAAAGAATTATAGAATTAGAAAGTCATGGGGTATACCTCTCTGCCCCAAAATGTGCCCTTAATAGTTTGCTACTGTTTTGAGTATTCAGCCTTAGTGTTCATCTCCATTTCATTGTCATTTAACCTTAGCAGTTTTACCTTTTTAGAAAAATGGTTTGTCATATTTCTTTATGTTGCTTCCTGTTTACTTTCTTATTTACTAATGCTGTCTTGTTTAGTAAATTTTAAAGATGCAGAAATGCATTTTAAAGTAATTCTTTTTTCTTTAACATTTAACTCCGATTTTTCTAATTATTCTTTTTTATTTTTCCATTAGAGTGACCTCAGTTCTGTGGTAATTTGATTTTTTATTATAAACTTTTATACTTTTCTTACTCACTACTTTTTGACTCTGCCTAATTAATCTCTCTTTACAAAACATAGTGGAAAAACAGTTAGTTGTGAATACCACCTGTGTGACTTCAGAAAGATTATACATAACTTTATGTACTTTTTATATTGTCTCAATTTTCTTATTCTGTGGAGGAAAATTAACTCAAAAGTTAAATTGTCATATTGAAACAATTCTCATTTTCAGTGTTTTCTTCTTTAGATTTTTTTAAAAGAGGTATGTTAACCTTGCGTAAAATGGTCTTGTGATTTTCATCATCTTACTGTAAAATACCCAACTATCATAGCTTTCAGTTCTTTGAGTAGACTATATAATCAGAGTTCATTTTCAGATGCACAGTGGTTTTAGTTTTAAGTCTGGGTCAGGTAACAACAGCTGCTTGACAAAATTAAACAGTGGAAAAGCAAATTTTCCCAAAATTTGCTAAAGCAAAGTCAGCTAAAATTTTATTTTCCCAAAGTTATATTTACAATAAGCAGCATTTGCTTATATCGCATTACGTGTGTAATAACATCAACTGCCTTAGTACTGAATTCTTAATTTATAAAGTATCAAATTGCTTTATACTAACTGTTCAAACTAACTTGATTTTCCATTATGCTGCTTGTTTTTCTTTCGTTTTATCTAAGCTCTTCCTAAATTTACGCAGAAAATTGCATTTTTTATTAAAATTGAAATGTGGGTCTGTGGTTATGTTTTTAAAAGCAATGGATTGATGGGATATATGTTGTTTTTTTAGAACAAGTAACCAAAAAATGCCATTAAGTGGTACTTTTTTTAAACTAATAAAACTATTTCTATTTTCATTTGAACACATGTGCCAAGACTAAAGTATCTGTTTTGTTTTAGATAATAATACATTATAACTTCATCACATTATATTTTTGCTAATTATTTTCATTTTCCTGGTGTTAATGTTTAAAAAGCTCAGCCAGGCACTGTGGCTCATGCCTGTAATCCCAGCATTTTGGGAGGCTGAGGCAGGTAGATCACAAGGTCAGGAGTTTGAGACCAGCGTGGCCAACATGGTAAAACCCCATCTCTACAAAAAAAATACAGAAATTAGCCAGCGTGGTGATGCTTGCCTGTAATCCCAGCTACTTAGGAGGCTGACACAGGAGAATCACTTGAACTCAGGAGGCAGATATTGCAGTGAGCCAAAATCATGCTACTGTACTCCAGCCTGGGCAACAGAGTGAGACTTCATCTTAAATAAATAAATAAATAAAAATACAAAAATTAGGCAGGTGTAGTGGTACACGCCTGTAGTCCCAGCTACAGGGGAGGCTGAGGCAGGAGAATCGCTTCAACCTGGGAGGCAGAGGTTGTAGTGAGCCGAGATCGTGCCACTACACTCTAGCCTGGGCAACAGAGCAAGACTCAGTTTTGCGGGGGGGGGAAAAAAACGCTCATAGGCCGGGCACGGTGGCTCTCGCCTGTAATCCCAGCACTTTGGGAGGCCGAGATGGGTGGATCAGTTGAGGTCAGGAATTCTATACCAGCCTGGCCAACATGGTGAGATTCCATCTCTACTAAAAATATAAAAATTAGCTCAATATGATGTGCACCTGTAATCCCAGCTACTCGGGAGGCTGAGGCAAGAGAATCCCTTGAACCCGGGAGGCAGATGTTGCAGTGAGCTGAGGCCACCCAGCCACCACGCTCCAGCCTGGGTGACAGAGTGAGATTCTGTCTCAAAAAAGTAAAAACAAAAAGCTCTTAAGTGCCAGATTTTTTTGGTCATACTTGATTTTATGTTGTTTATGTGTAGTGAACATATTACTATGAAACTTTTGAAAAAAAATTCTTGAACACCCTTAGTATATCATTTTTTATGTAGGTTTGTTTCAAAGATAAATCAAGTTAGTTATCCTTCAATTACATAAAGCAGTAACCAAATGGCATAAAATAAAGACTTTTTGGCATAATTATGGGAATTAATTTATATAAAGTTAAGTATTTAAATTACCTACTGACAAATATTGCTGAAGAGCATCAGCTTTAAAATCTGTCACTGAGGCTCCAAATTACCTTTTGCCTGATTTAAAGCACTAAGATAGTGAGATATAATTCACATATACTTTTTTTAGCCCTCAATATACACTTGGCCGGGCACGGTGGCTCACGCCTGTAATCCCAGCACTTTGGGAGGCCGAGGCAGGCAGATCATGAGGTCAAGAGATCAAGACACACCATTTCTACTAAAAATAGAAAAATTGGCTGGGCATGGTAGTGCATGCCTGTAGTCCGAGCTACTCAGGAGGCTGAGACAGGAGAATTGCTTGAACCCAGGATGCAGAGGTTGCAGTGAGCCGACGTTGCGCCACCACACTCCAGCCTGGCACCTGGCAACAGAGCTAGACTCTGTCTCAAAAAAAAAAGAAAAATATATGTATATAAATATAAATAAATATACACACACACACACAAAATGAACTAAGAAATCACTAATGACCACTTGCAAATTAATTTAAAAAGTTAACTTTTTCACGATTACAAAATAGATAATTCATAATACCAGTGGTCACTACACTATCTAAATTCCTGTTAATATGACAATCAAGATTATATTATACTGCTGTGTTATAATGAAGACTTAATTATCTTAATGTTAACACAAATTATAGGTGCATAGGTGTATTCATGATACTAAAGCATATTTTAATACCTAACGAAAAGAATTAGGATATTTGTAAATGAAATTCCAGTTAAGTATTTTTGGATGTTAAGATAAAATATAGTTATCCTCCATCCATTGTTTGACAAGGTATCAGTTAACTAACACTTGACTTTGCCCCTGTTAATTATGATAGAGTTAAGATTTCTTTTCTTGCATTAATTGTGGTAACTTTGATTTGCAGGCATGAACTAATCACATTTGTGGTTAATATTTTTCCTTCATATAGATAAGATATTTTTGTTGAGATAAATATTTTAAATGCCATCACACTTTGGTGGATATTTTTTTCATATCCTCAGACTGATGAAGTATTTCTGGAAGCCCAGATTCAGAATATTACAACCTCACCTATGTTTATGGAGAAAGTTTCATTGGAGCCATCTATCATGTACAATGTAACAGAATTAAATTCAGTCAGCCAAGCTGGAGAATGGTAAATATTAATTGTGAAATGTTTATCCTTGTTATGAAAGACACATGCTTTTCTAACATCCATTGTTCTTCAGTTTTTATTTTTAACTAATAGATTTTTTTTAAAAGAAGTTTGAGGGCCGGTTGTGGTGGCTCACACTTGTAATCCCAGCACTTTTGGAGGCTGAGGCAGATGGATCATGAGGTCAGAAGTTCAAGACCAGCCTGTCCAACACAGTGAAACCCCATCTTTACTAAAAATACAAAAATTATCTGGGTGTGATGGTGGGCACCTATAATCCCAGCTACTTGGGAGGCTGAAGCATGAGAATTGCTTGAACCTGGGAGGCAGAGGTTACGGTGAGCCAAGATCACACCACTGCACTTCAGCCTGGGCAACAGAGCTAGGCTTCGTCTCTAAAAAAAAAAAAAAAAAGTTTGAAGTTCATAGAAGAATTCATTACAAAATAGGATTTTCACATACCCTCTTCCCCTCCTCACAATTTCTCTTGCTATTTACATATTATTTATTTATTTATTTATTTATTATATATTATATTGTATTTTAGGTTCTGTGGTACATGTAAAGAACATGCAGGATTGTTGTGTGGGTACATACATGGCAAGGTAGTTTGCTGCCTCCATCCCCATTACCTGTATCTGGCATTTCTCCCTATGTTATCCTTCCCCAACTCCCTACCCCACACTGTCCCTCCTCTAGTCCCCCACCAACAGACCTCAGTGTGTGAAGCTCCCCTCCCTGTATCCATGTGTACTCACTGTTCAACACTGCCTACGAGTGAAAACGTGTGGTGCTTGATTTTCTGTTCTTGTGTCAGTTTGCTGAGAATGATGGTTTCCAGGTTTATCCATGTCCCTACAAAGGACATGAACTCATCATTTTTGATGGCTACATAGCATTCTATGGTGTATATGTGCCACATTTTCCCTGTCCAGTTTATCATCAGTGGGCATTTGGGTTTGTTCCAAGTCTTTGCTATTGTAAACAGTGCTGCAGTGAACATTTGTGAGTATGTGTCCTTATAATAGAACACTTTGGATATATACCCAGTTATGGGATTGCTGGGTCAAATGGTATTTCTATCACACTGTCTTCCACAATGGTTGAACTAATTTACACTCCCACCAATAGTATAAAAGTGTTGCTATTTCTCCACATCCTCTCCAGCATCTATTGTCTCCAGATTTTTTAATGATTGCCATTCTAACTGGGGTGAGATGGTATCTCAGTGTATTTTGATTTGCATTTCTCTAATAACCAGTGATGATGAGCATTTTTTTATGTGTTTGTTGGCCTCATATATGTCTTCTTTTGAAAAGTGTCTGTTCATATCCTTCACCCACTTTTGAATGGGTTGGTTTGTTTTTTTCTTGTAAATCTGTTTTAGTGCTTTGTAGATTTTGGATATTAGCCTTTTGTCAAATGAGTAGATTGCAAAAATTTTTTCCCATTCTGTTGGTTGCCAGTTCACTCTAATGATTCTTTCTTTTGCTATGCAGAAGCTGTGGAGTCTGATTAGGTCCCATTTGTCTATTTTGGCTTTCGGTGTTTTAGTCATGAACTCCTTGCCTATGCCTGAATGGTTTTGCCTAGGATTTCTTCTAGGGTTTTTATGGTGTTAGGTCTTATGTTTAAGTCTTTAATCCATCTAGAGTTAATTTCAGTGTAAGGTGTTAGGAAGAGGTCCAGTTTCTCCTTTCTGCACATGGCTAGCCAGTTTTCCCAACACCATTCATTAAACAGAGAATCCTTTCCCCATGGCTTGTTTTTGTGAGGTTTGTCAAAGATCAGATGGTTGTAGATGTGTTGTGTTGCCTCCGAGGCCTCTGTTCTGTTCCATTGGTCTATACCTCTATTTTGGTACCAGTACCATGCTGTTTTGATTACTGTAGCCTTGTAGATAGTTTGAAGTCAGGTAGCATGATGCGTCCAGCTTTGTTCTTTTTGCTTAAAATTGACTTGGTTATGCAGGCTCTCTTTTGGTTCCATATGAAGTTTAAGGTGTTTTTTTAGTTCTGTGAAGAAGGTCACTGGTAGCTTGATGGGGATAGCATTGAATCTATAAATTACTTTGGAGATTATGGTCATTTTCACGATACTGATTTTTCCTAACCATGAGCATGGAAGGTTTTTCCATCTGTTTGTGTCCTCTCTTATTTCCTTGAGCAGTGGTTTGTAGTTCTCCTTGGACACGTCCTCTACATCCTTTGTTAGTTGTATTCCTAGTTATTTTATTGTCTTCGTAGCAATTGTGAATGGCAATTTGTTCTTCATTTGGCTCTCTTTAAGTCTGTTATTTGTGTATAGGAATGCTTGTGATTTTTGCACATTGATTTTATATCCTGAGACTTTGCTGAAGTTGCTTATCAGTTTCAGGAGATTTGGGGCTGAGACAATAGGGTCTTCTAAATATACAATCATGTCATCTGCAAGTAGAGACAATTTGACTTCCTCCTTTCCTAATTGAATACACTTTATTTCTTTTTCTTCCTGATTGCTCTGGCTAGAACTTCCAATAATATATTGAATAGGAGTGGTGAGAGAGGGCATCCTTATCTAGTGCCAGATTTCAAAGGGAATGCTTCCAGTTTTTGCCCATTCCGTATGATATTGGCTATGGGTTTGTCTTAAATAGCTTTTATTATTTTGAGATACTTTCCATCAATACCGAGTTTATTGAGGGTTTTTAGCATAAAGGGCTGTTTAATTTTGTCAGAGGCCTACTCTGCATCTATTGAGATAATCCTGGTTTTGTCTTTGGTTCTGTTTATGTGGTGAATTACATTTGTAGACTTGCATATGTAGAGCCAGCCTTGCATTCCCGGGATGAAGCCTGCTTGATCATGATGGATAAGCTTTATGATGTGCTGTTGCAATCGGTTTGCCAATATTTTATTGAAGATTTTTGTATCTATGTTCATCATGTAATATTGGCCTGAAGTTTTCTTTTCTTGTTGAGTCTCTGCCGGGTTTTGGTATCAGGATGATGTTGGTCTCATTAAATGATTAGGGGAGGATTCCCTTTTTCTGGATCGTTTGGAATAGTTTCAGAAGGAGCGGTACCAGCTCTTCTTCGTATGTCTGGTAGAATTGCTCTGTGAAGCCATCTGGACCTGAGCTTTTTTTGGTTGGTATGCTGTTAATTGCTGCCTCAACTTCAGCCCTTGTTATTGGTCTATTCAGGGTTTCAACTTCTTCCTGGTTTAGGCTTGGGAGGTTGCAAGTATCCAGGAATTTATCAATTTCTTCCAGGTTTACTGGTTTATGTGCATAGAGTTGTTTGTAGTAATCTCTGATGGTAGTTTGTATTTCTGTGGAATCAGTGGTGGTATCCCCTTTATCGTTTTTTATTACATCCATTTGATTGATTCTTTTCTCTTTTCTTTTTTATTAATCTGGCTAGTGGTCTATTTTGTTGATCTTTTCAAAAGCCAGCTCCTGGATTTATTGATTTTTTTGAAGGGTTTTTTGTGTCTCCCTCACCTTCAGTTCTGCTCTGATCTTAGTTATTTCTTGTCTTCTGCTAGCTTTTGAGTTTTTTTGATCTTGCTCCTCTGGCTCTTTCAGTTTTGATGATAGGGTGTCAATTTTAGATCTTTCCTTGCTTCTCATGTGCACATTTATTGCCATAAATTTTCCTCTAGACACTGCTTTAAATGTATCCCAGAGATTCTGGTACATTGTGTCTTCATTCTCATTGATTTTGAAGAACATCTTTATTTCTGCCTTTATTTCATTGTTTATCCACTCAGCATTCAGGAGCCAGTTGTTCAGTTTCCATGAATGTATGGTTCTGAGTGAGTTTCTGAATTCTGAGTTCTAATTTGATTGCACTATGGTCTGAGAGACTGTTTGTTATGATTTCTGTTCTTTGCATTTGCTGAGGAGTGATTTACTTCTAATTATGTGGTCAATTTTAAAGTAGGTGTGATGTGGTGCTGAGAAAAATGTGTATTCTATGGATTTGGGGTGGAGAATTCTGTAAATGTCTATTAGGTTTGCTTGTTCCAGGTCTGAGTTCAAGTCCTGGATATCCTTGTTTATTTTCTGTCTTGTTGATCTGTCTAAAATTGACAGTGGAGTGTTAAAGCCTCCCACTGTTATTGTGTGGGAGTCTAAGTCTCTTTGTAGGTCATTAATATGTATCTGGGTGCTCCTGTATTGGGCGTGTATCTATTTAGGATCGTTAGCTCTTCTTGTTGCATTGATCCTTTTACCATTATGTAATGTAATGCCCTTCTTTGTCTCTTTTGATCTTTGTTGGTTTGAAGTCTATTTTATCAGAGACTAGGATTGCAACTCCTGCTTTTTTTTTTGCTCTCCATTTCCTTGGTAGATCTTCCTCCATCCCTTTATTTTGAGCCTTTATGTATCCTTGCATGTGAGATGGGTTTCCTGGATACAGCACACCAATGGGTTTTGGCTTTTTATCCAATTTGCCAGTCTCTGTCTTTTGATTGGGGCGTTTAGCCCATTTACATTTAAGGTTAATATTGTTATGTGTGATTTTGATCCTCCCATTTTGATGTTAGCTGGTTGTTTTGCCCATTATTTGACTCAGTTGCTTCATTGTGTTGATGCTCTTTACCACTTGGTACATTTTTGGAGTGGCTGTACTGGTTGTTCCTTTCTGTGTTTAGTACTTCTTTCAGGAGCTCTCTTGTAAAGCAGGCTTGGTGGTGATGAAATCTCTGAGCAATTGCTTGTTCATAAAGGATTTTATTTCTCCTTCGCTTATGAAGCTTAGTTTGGCTAGATATAAAATTCTAGGTTGAAAGTTCTTTTCTTTAAGTATGTTGAATATTGGCCTCCACACTCTTCTGGCTTGTAGGGTTTCTGCTGAGAAATCCACTGTGAGTCTGATGGGCTTCCCTTTGTGTGTAACCCGACCTTTCTTTCTAGCTGCTCTTAGTATTTTTTCCTTTATTTCAACCCTGGTGAATCTGACGATTATGTGCCTTGAGGTTGTTCTTCTTGAGGAATATCTTCGTGGTGTTCTC